CCCCAATGCTGTTCCCCTCCCCTAATTCCCCAATAAAATCTTTAAAAGAAAAAAAAGTGTTAGTATTTATGTTTCTTTAGATCCCTTTCTGATAATTATTTCCCTCCAGCATTCAAACCCCTTTAATTTTATTCATTAATCATTTTATAATTCATAATTATTTCAGAAAATACAATGGTTTCAATCAAGAAATATATCCCAATGTTTAGCTGACTTGTTTTTTATATATCCCACTGTCCCACTGTTAAGTAAAAATGATTTGTAATGCAGCTTTCAGAATTAAAGAATTTTATCCAAGATGTTGACCTAAATTTGGGTGCCACATTTTATAAACAACTTTTCATTAAAACTAAACCTAAGTATTCTTCCTTTTGATAAATCATAGTACCCCTTTGGCCTGAAATTTTCAATATCTTATCTTTCTTTTTTCTTTCTTTCACTCATTTATTCAATAAATATTTATTGAACACAATTACATCTACATATACCTCAGTACCTAGCAATATATATAAGGCATATAAAAATACAGCCAACCTATAGCTAGAGACTAATAAGGGAAACAAGTTATTTTCATTATTACCTCCAATAGCGTAGACCATCCCTCCCAGAACTGTTACTCCTAGCCCACATCGAGCTTGATGAAGTGAAGACACAGTGGTCCAGTACTGGCTAAAGGTGTCAAAACGTTCTACACAGCTGAGGGCTCTGCTATCACTCCAACGACCCCCCTGCAATCGAGTATATCCACCTGAACAAAGGAAGGAAAGGAGGAACACAGCAAACCCCTTACTGCTAAATATGGAAATGGTAGTAAGGAGAAAAATCTAGCCCTTTACATCTAGACATTCAGTATAACTATTTCATAGCAAGGAATACATGCTTTAGAATCTGCCATGTACGTGTTTGCACACGCACGTGTACACACACACACATACAATTCTTAAATATGTCAAGTCCTGAAAGATTATGGCTTAAATGCAATGAGTTAACCACAGTCTTCTACCACCTGGTCTTGGTTATAACAGAACATTAGATAAGACATAAATCTGGGAGCTGATTATCTGTCTAGTTAGGAAGTTTCATTATGACTTCTATTAGTGTCTATTTGCAATGAAAAATAGTGAGTTGAAATTCTGGTTTGACTGCACATCACTAAAAAAAGTTTAGCATGCACTCAAAAATTACATATTAGGCCGGCCGAGTGGCACAATGGTTAAGAGCTGGCTTGGGATGCCAGAGGGCCCCGTTTCGGATCCCACATATGAGGGCCAGTGATACTGCCCTCTACAGCTAAGATGCTGAACAACAGCTCAATTTGGAGCTGGGCTGCCATGAGTCGTAGGAGATGGCGTAGGCTGCAACCCCTGCTGCAGTGGGTTGCCATGGGCTACCGTGTGTAGCCAGCAGCCGCAGTGAGCGGCCGTCCAGAAGCCGGNGACTGAAGAACAAAAGGACAGCAACTTGTCTGTTCCCTTTCCCCCAATTCCCCAGCGCTGTTCCCATCCCCCAATTCCCCAATAAAAATCTTTAAAAAATAAAATAAAAATAAAAAATACTGAAGAAGACTATAAGAGACTGTGAAGATTGTTTTTGACATTCTCTGCCTACTTAGAAATACTTACTAAGGACTGCATGGGAGAGAAAATAACAATAGTAGATGACGTTTTAATGCTTATTTTGCTAGTCTGGAATTTTATATTTGCCTATCTGGAATTTTAAATTCTAGCTTTGTTTATTTTAGAAAAAAATTGATTATTTTGGCAATACAGAAATGAGAGGTTAAAAGATGTAAGAAGTTAAAAGCAGAGCTTCTAGACTGTTAGTGTTAATCACTGAATACTAACAGACATAAAATAGACTTTTGTGAAAATAAAGCCTCAAGCTCAGTTTTTAAAAAAATATATTTTCAGGAAAAATATTTTATAAAGCAATTACCTTGCATTTCACAACACCCAAAGTAGTAGCGTGACATAGCCATGTTGCCAACTACTTCCCATTTATTTTCATCAGGATCAAATCGTTCAATGGTGTTCCCTATCTCAGCTCCAACCCATCCACCTGTGACGAAATAGAAAAATGTTATGTCTGGGATAAAGGAATCCTTTTTATGAAAAAACACCTTAGAAAACATTTAATCTGACAACTTCATATTATGGATGATTATCACATGGAACAGAGGGGTTATTTGTCCAAGATCACATAAAAAGTTAGAATTTGACTGAGTAGAACTCAGATCTTTTATCTCTCTGTCTAGTTTTCACTAGACATTTCAAACAAAACAAAAACTTCAGCATGTTGCATAGGAAATATAGTATTTTGCAAAACTATCTTTTGAAACAACTTCTGTATATTCAGAGTGGTTATTCTAATCATGAAATTTAACTAGTCAGCTAAAGGCTTCATTGGACATCTCATCTAATATATTTTATCTCCATCTCCTAAGAATTCCACACTTGACAATATGCCCCAAGTAATAATATTTTGAGAATAAAACTATATAAAGCTGAAAGAATACAAGTTTCTTATGGGAGGGAAGAAAACTTCTAAAGTAATTTGACTAAGAATTTAAATAATATTAGATATCCTTTAATTGAACAGCATAATTACCCAAAGCATAGATAGCCCCATAACACACACACACCCCCAAGCCACAGCGGGGGTGATTCATTGAAGCTACAGTTGTCCACTGTTTAGTAACTGGATCGTAGCATTCAGTACAGTCAAAAATCATTGAATCCTTTTCACCTGAGTTAAATAAGAGACACATATGAGAAGGTTTAGTGATGCTAATAGCCTAGAACCATAATACCATATTCAACAGCATTCTATGTTGTCAAAAATTCAACTACAATGTCTGATTTTATACTTCTCATTAAAATTCATTTGCCCAGCGTTATTTTGAATCCATAGCACTGTTATTTATTAAACCCATTTAATGAAACAATGACACCATTTCCTGTTATCTATTTCTAATGCTACCACCCAAACAATCCATGTAATTTTTAAGGATACAATTTGTATTTTAACACTTGTGTATAATTTGAGTTTTAATGTAATCCTTATCTAGCAACAAATTGAAAATGAAATTTTTTTTACTGATATCACTTAAAATAGAATTGTAAAATATACTATACCTAGGAGTAAATCTAATCAAAGGTTGTATAAGACCTCTACGGTTAAAATTTATAAACTTTTTAGATAAAATTTTAAATTAAGGAATATCTAAATGAGTGAAGAGCTGTATCATGAACATGAATTAGAAGTCAACTGATTTATAGATATCTCAATTTTTAAAAGAACATTTGTCTTTTATTTTGTTCAAATACATATAACATAAAATTTACTATCTTAACCATTTTTAGTGTACAGTTCAGTCATGTTAAACATTCACATTGTTGTGCAGTCATCACAACCATCCATCCCCGTTAACTCTTTTCATCTTGTCAAACTAAAATTCTATACCTATTAAACAATAATTCCCCATTCACCCTTCCCCCAGCCCCTGGCAATCACTATTATACTTTCTGTTTATGATTTTGACAACTCTATGTATCTCATAGTGGAATCATACAGTATTACTTTTAAAACAAGTTTGACGAACTGATTCTAAAATTTATATGGAAGTACAAAGGGCCTAGAAAAGCCAAGCACTAATAAGGAGAGAGAAACTACCCTATCAGATAAGCTTATCACACTTAAAATAGAGCTATAGTAATTAAAACAGGGATAGACAAAGAGACCAATGAAACAAAAATCTAAAAACGGATCCATGCATGTTATGATTACATGACATATGACACAGTTTACACTACAGAGCAGTGGGGAAACAAAAGCCTTTTATGCTGTGATAATGAGTTATAGAACCATAATGGAAAAAAAAATAGAGTTGGCTACATCAAAATTAAAAACATCTGTTTATCAAAAGATAACATAAACAGAGTGAAAAATAAAGCAGCAGAGTAGGAAAAGATATTTATAGCACATGTAACTTTATGAGGGCCTAGAATCCTGAATGTATACAAAGCTCTTTCTGTGCAGAAAAGTTAACACAGCAGGCCTGAGACTGTCTATGCTTAGAAAGGCCTGCTTTCAAGGCTGACCCTTGCCTGGAATCTGGGAACATAGCTGGTAAAGAATTCCTTACACTGTTATAAAATTTTCCGTTAATGATAAGAATGGCTTTTTGCAGTGATGAAAATGTTCTGGAATTAGATACTGGTGATAGTTGCACAACTTTGTGAATATACTAAAAACCACTGACCTGTATACTCTAAATGGTGAATTTTATGCTATGTGAATTATATCTTAACTTTTCAAAATAGTGACTATTAACCCAGATATGTATGTATTTAGAAGGAAATAAACTAAACTATTAACTGTGATTATCTCTGGGTGGTATAATTATAGTATGGGTGATTTTTATTTTCTTTTTCATATGCTTAGATTTTAGCAAAATTTCTACAATAAAACCTGAATTACTTTAATAAAAATATATTTTAAAATTATAAAGGAATACCTTATGATAGCAATATTGGTAGTATTAATAATAGCTAGCAAAGTCAGCATTTTTTTGAAGGGCCCCCATAAGTATGTCTATGACATCAGGAAATGGTATACATATATATGCACAGGACACTGTGACCCTAGGTTAAACAGGAGAGTTCATGAAATGAAACTCCACAATTGCCAAAATGTACATAAAAAGAACTATTAAAGTTCTAGTCAAAGATTATATAAAATTATGGTCTTTATGCTGACAGAAAGTTATTGCTTAAAACTCTAATTTTTTGTAAGGCTTTTCAGATGCACCATGACATTTATTGTTCAAATGAACAGCTTTTGAGTGACAACTATATTCTCTCCAAAGGAAAAATAAATATAAAATATTCCCTATATCACTCTCATTTTAACATGACAGTATCATAGTCATAAATAAAAATTTTGATATACAACTTTTAGTGTTTTAGACTGACCCATAGTTCACAATGCTATGCAACTATAAATCAATTATAAGAAGAAACCTGGAAAGCACACAAATACATGGAGGCTGAATAATATGCTGCTAAATAGCAAGTGGGTCAAAACTGAGATCAAGGAAGAAATCAAAAGCTATCTCAAGACAAACGAAAATGAAAACACAACAACCCCAAATCTATGGGTTGCAGCGAAAGCAGTCCTAAGAGGAAAATTCATAGCAATGCAGACCTATCTAAAGAAACAAGAACAATCTCATATCAACAGACTATCTTTATACCTAAGGGAACTGGAGAAAGAACAGCAAAACAAGCCCAAAAGGAGTACAAGGAAGGAAATAATAAAGACCAAACCAGAAATAAATGAAATAGAGACCAAAAAACAATACAAATGATCAATGAAACCAAGAGCTGGTTTTTTGAAAAGATAAACAAAATTGACAAACTCTTAGCCAGACTCACAAAGAAAGAGAGAGGACCCAAATTAATAAAATCAGAAATGAAAGAGGAGAAGTGGCAACAGATACCACAGAAATACAGAAAATTGTAAGAAAACACTACAAGCAACTTATGCCAATGAATTTGACAACCTGGAAGAAATGGATAAATTTCTAGAAGCATACAATCTGCCAAGTCTGAACTAAGAAGAAACAGAAACTCTGAACAGACTGATTACTACCAAAGAAATAGACTGACCCATAGAAATAAAGCAAAAAGATTAGCTGTAAGGGTTACAGATTATCTACCTAGGCTTGCTGCTATAAAGACAAATTCTACAGAAGTAAATATTGATATAAAAAGTGTAGTATTGGGGCCGGCCGAGTGGCTCAGTTGGTTAAGAGTTAGCTTAAGAGTGCGAGCTGTGAGCAACAGGGCCGCTGGTACATGGGCCAGTGACCCTGCGCCCAAGCTGAGCTGCCTCTGAGCTGCCAACAGGTAGCAGGATGGCTCAACTGGTGAGAGCACGTGCTCCTAACAACAAGATTGCCTGTTCCATGGTGGGCTATGCCCGCCCGCAACTAAAACTGAACTCAGCACCTTGAGCTGAGCTGCCACCCAGATAGCTCAGTGGATAGAGCGTGCACTTTTAACAACAAGGCTGCTGGTTCAACTCCCGCATGGGACGGTGGCTACACCCACCCGCAACTAAGACTGTAACACAGCACCTTGAGCTTAGAGGCTACAAGCTGCCAACGAGCAGCCAGATGGCGACTGGCACCCTCCACAACTAAGATCGAAGAACAACAACTCGGCTGGTTCCCTTTCCCAGTTCCCCAACACTGTTTCCCTCCCCCAATTCCCCAATT